GGGGAGGGGGGAAAGGTGGGAATCTAGGCGACTCTTTGTGCAAAACCAAAACCGCGAAATTTTTGGAAGCCCCTCCCATTAGCTGACTAGCTTCTGATGTTCTTTTAGCTACTAGTTAAGTCTGTCTGATTGCCTCAGAAAGAACTTTGCGGTTTGTACAATTCTGTTACTAGTGCCCTTAACATTTAGCTGTGGAGGACATCCAGATTGCGAGGACAACTCAACGGAAAACCACTGTGCGATGGATTACCGTGCCAAAGGACAAAGAGCAAACGTTCGAATTTCCCGCCGCGACTCCTCCTGTACTCGGTAGTAGCTCTAAAAATCTTTTAGTGATGGACTTCCACTTGCATTACTCGCCTCTTTTAGCATTCCGAACGTGAGCCACCTCGTCAGATGATTGTCCGTGTTTCTGGATGGGATGAGATTTCACCGGTGAATGTGGATGCATGCGGCACGTACTTCCGTTTGGTGAAAGGCGTAAAGGTTAGTTGACTTCTAGGAGACTTCCCTCCTTATTGAGCCGATCTGAATCGGGCACGCCGTATTTTAAGGATTCCCTATTGCGAGAAGGGGTGGAGTTATATTTGACTTGGTAGTTTTTTAAGTATTTTTCCACATCAGGCGCGCTCATCCCCTCTTCTAGTCGAGCGATGCAGCAATTTTACCGATCGTGAACTTCTAATGGTTCATGGGTGACCTCTCCAGCTGTTCCCCGTTACGGTTACTGGGGGTAGGGCACGTCGAGTGTTGGGAATCCCCAGCGAGAGGGGTCGTACTTGGTCGCTAGAGGGAGAGTGTAGTTGCTTTTTTCGGTTCCTGACTTTTTTTTCTCGTTTTTTTTTCTTGTTTCAAGTGCGCTGTCCCTTCCCTCCTCCCCCGCTCCCCCGCTTTTTTGTTTTTTTTTCGCACCAGTTTTTCTAGGGAGGAAATTTGAAATTGAGGATTTAGAAAAATACAGGAAGTTGGGGAAATTTAGGAAGATGTTAGGTAGGTTGAGGAAGGATAGGTCGCACCAGAGAAGAATTTCTTGAGGGGGGGGACGTAATTTACAAATTCTTTTTCAGTGGCAGGACGTGCTCTTATCTTGGGCTCGCCCTGAGGGAGTTTTTCCACAACTCCTGGGCGTGTCCGTGGGAAGCTCTTATTCTTGAAGTGAGCTATTCCAGAGAGGCGTACACATGGCACGCATAGTTATTCAAGTGACAATGGAAAAGGATGGTAAAAAGGTGGTTGCCATTCGATCGTCTATAGACATCCATAATCAGCTGCCTCATCCACTGGCAGTTTATTCAGCTGAGAACAAGCGAGGTTGGAATCTACTCCAGTAAGGATTAGTAACACCTCACACTACGAGCTGCTTTTCAGAGCTGATGCTTGTGGAACCGTCGCAGATGAAACCGATTCCATTACCGTTTGCACATTGTCAGTTCCTTATGCGTCCGGAGGGTTGTGAAGTGCAAGAAATGGTTCTGTGTTTTCCTCTCTTTTCTCTTCCTTTTTTTCGTTTTCTTTGTTGGTTTAATATGATTAATTAGGCTGATGTATCGTGGTTGAAAGTACGAGTCGCTGGCGAGACACTGAACCGTACACAGCGCTTGAGTACTTCCGACAACATGAACAATTACTGGTTAGTTTTGTTTAATCTGGTCACTCTAAGTTGCCATGAATTTTCAACTCCTCGGCGATTCGCAACAGCGGGGGCAGTGACACTAAGGAGGGCGCCATTGCATACCTACCACCTGCGCACCCCTTACTCCTCCTGGGGGATCACATGCGATCCCCAGGTCGTGGAT